GACTGGGACTACTGTTTTGTCCTCTCCACTTCCCAGCAGAGAAACTGTGTGGCATGGTCATTTGATTGTCAGGGCTCTGTATGGGTTTTGAATGTCTCTCTCTCAGACACTAGGGTGACACATGCTTGTAATCCCAGCACTGAGATAGGTAGGGGCAGAGGCAGAAGCAGGATGACCAGAAGTTCAAGGTCATCCTTGACTACATAGTGAGTTCAAGTCCCACCTGGGCTATGTGAGACCTTGTCTCAAAAACAAAACAAAACACCACCAAAGGAAGAAAAAGGAATAAAAGGCAGAGAGGAGAGGACTGAGGGGATCTTGGACAAAGCCAAGGCCCCAAAGCTTGTTCCCACTGGCTGGGGTGTAGGTCAGAAAATGGGCTGAGTCAGAGGCTATTGGGAGAAGGATGAAGACCACTTGATGACACAAGGGCCAAGGAATACAGATAGGGCCATGACAAATGCCCACAGTGACCAAGGTCCAGGAGCACCCATGGCTTACTCAACGGAGGTGCGTACCCCTAATGTAGGCAGTCACAGCAAGGGGTACTGAAGCCTAGAAAGCGAATATTTCAAATTAATAACTCCTGCTTAACTCACTCTTAACTTTTTTATCATCATCATTTTAAAGAGGAAGCATCTGTGTTTTGAAAGGTATATTTACAGTGTTCAACTTTTCATTTGTTTTGTTGAGGCAAGGTCTCCCAGTAGCCCTAACTGGCTTGGAACTCCATATGTAAACCAAACTGGCCTCAAGCACACAGAGATTTGCCTGCCTCTGCCTCCCAAGTACTGGGATTAAAGGCATGTGCCACCATGCCTGGCATTTAAAAATTTTTTGATTTTATTTTATGTGTATGAATGTTTTACCTGCATGTATACGTACACCCATGAGTGCTCTGCCCAAGGAGGCCAGAGAGGAGGTCAGATTCCCTGGGACTGGAGTTACAGATGATTGTTAACCACTATGTAGGTGTTGGGAACTGAACCGAGGTCCTCTGAAAGAGCAACCAGTGTTCTTCACTGAGCCATCTCTCCATCAGTGTTCACCTTTTCACTTCTGCTCTCTTCACAAGTTTTGTCCTACAAAGACCAGACCCTGTAAGCAAGCCACTGTAAGGGATTAACATCCATGACTCTTAGCATCCACCAAAGAATAACAAACTCTCTGGGCTGACCTCACCCTTGGTCAGTCATATGTGTGTGTTTGGCTACCCTGGTTTCAGTGAACGAGGTCTGAAGGGAGTGGTTGCCATTAGGAAAGTATGTTCTGTGGGAGTTGGATTGGGCCCTGAGGGATTTGGCCTCCCTGCACTTCACACAGTTTGTAGGGCACTTGTGGCCCCAGCTTTGTGGGAAGAACCTGGGCTGTCACCTAGGGGTGACTCAGGGTCCCAGGAATGGAAGCCCAGAGAAGGCAAAAGGGCCTTGATCCAGGCTCCTTGAGCTCCCAGCTGCTTCTTATTGGTCAGGGAACTTGGTCACTGTTAGATTATAGGATATGTATTGGAGAAGACCGGGAAATGACTCCTTCCCTGTGGATGGTGTCACCTCATGGATTGGTCCCACTTCTGGTTGAGGCCACCCAGACAGAGCCCCAGTGGCTGTCTCCAGATGCCTTGGCCTGGCCTGGCCTGGCCTGGCTCTGTTGCATTGCTGCTGCAGGCTTTCAGTTGTGTTCCAGTATTTCACAGGTCTGGTCTGGACAAGCCCAGGAGCCAGGCTGACTGTAGCTTCAGGAAGGGTCACTGCTGGAGCCCAGGTGGAGTGTGGAGTAGAAGGATACGGGGACCCTAGCACCTGGGGTGACTAGAAGTGACCCAGGGCAGCAAGTGAAGGGACAGGAGCCTAGTCCAGGAACCCCATGGTGATCAAGGCTCTGCCTGCTAGCCAGCTTCTCATTGTGGATTCCCAGCTGCCTCCTGAGCTACAGGATGCCCTAGCTGCTCCCACTGTCCCTGGAGGGAGGCAAACAGGAATCCCAGTTTCTCAGGCTCGGCTCTGTCTCTCTCTCTACTCTGTGGAGACTTGCAGGTACTGGAGGGTTGAACAGGTGAGTGATGGAAGGTGGAGTCATGACAAGAACAGGGACCCTTGGTGGTGAGAATATGAAATAGCAGAGTCTGCACCTCAGCTAGAGGGATGGGGTTCTTCCTTCTAAAATAAGGGCAGTGGCCTCAGCCACCAAAGGAACCAAGGCAGCAGCACAAACAAATGGGACAGTTCTCTGGGGACCTTCCCTGCTCTTAGGTGGAATGGGGGATCTGTTTGTCCCTAGATAACTGAGGAGCACACCAGGCAGAAGGGAAGGTATTGCCCAGGAGCTTTCACAGTGCCTGCCCTCTGTTGGGAGTCTGTCCATGCATCCAGCAGGTGAGGACTGCAAGGAGATGAACCAGTCCAGAGTGCTACACTTCAGGGCATAGTACAGATATCAAGGTGAAAACCTGTGGCTATCCAAGGCATGGGCAGCTACCCAGCTTCCTGGAAGGCTGGAATGTGTGCACTGGTCCCTGGCTAAGATTCTCAGACAAGTTGGGGGCAGATGTCTGTGCAAAAGGGTCAGCGGGCAGCATGTTGGGGAGCATCCTAGGGAAGGAAGCAAGTAGTCAACGCTGTGGTACTAAAAGCTCTACCTCTGCTGCTGCCTGCCTGGAGCAGAGAGAACCTCAGAATTGTCCCACCTGCAGCAGGTAACTGGTGGAGCTTTTTCCCTCACAGTGACCAGCCTCTACATGTGTACCACCGTGTCCCCTGTACCTCACACATCACCTTAGGTGAGCCAGAGCCTTAAGAGGAATGCACTGATGAGTGGCTTCAGGGATGGGGTGCTATGCTGCCATACCCACTCTCATGTTTTGGTGGGGTGGCCCTACTTAGAGAAAGGAAGCAATCTTGGAAGGCTGCATGACAGAAGAGGCACCGTGAGACTTACTGAGCATACAAAATGGTGATTTCCGGGGACAGGAGCAGGTGAAGAGTATAGTAGAGGCTTATTCAAAGATCAGCAGGGAGGGCTAACCAGGCCTACAGAGGAGGCAGTCTGGATTGGCTAACAAGGGCAGAACCTTGGACAGCTTACTGAGAGAATTGGTTTGTCTTCTGTCATCATTGTACCTAGTTGGAAAGGGATTTTTCACAGGTTAGAGCTAGGTTCCAGGGAAAGTAGCCCACTAGTCCTGTGGCTGGGTAGCAGATGGAAGAGCCAGGATGCAGGTAAACCAGACCAGGAAACTCAGGCTTAGCATTCCAGGCTCTGGGTTCCATCTCCACCCAGCACCACAAAAAAAAGGATGTAAGAGGCCCCTCCCGGATGAAGCAGACCTACCTTGAATCTAACTCTTCTCTAAGGGGGCCTCTCCTCAAATCTGCTTGTGATCAGCAGCCTGCTTAGAGGTCACACTGCCACCTGAGTCCACAGGGTCAGCTCTGGCTCTCTTCTCCATCCCTGGCCTCCTGGCTCCCCCAGCCCTCCAGATCCACAAATAGAGAACTGCTTCACTAGCCCCACCCTGTGCTAGGGGCCTGACCTCCCCTCCTGTCAGTGATCACAGGTCCTTGTGCCCTTTCTTCTTCCTACATGGTCTGGTGTTCCTGCTTCCTGGCTATACTTTGCTTTAAAGAACATGTGTTCAGTTGCCATGCATGGTGGCACTTGCCTATAATCCTAGCACTGGGGAGACTGAGGCAGGAAGACTGCTACAAGTCAGAGGCCAGTCCAGGCAAGAATGTGCCTCAAAAAACAACAGAAAACCCCTAAAACAACAATGAAAACTGTGGTCAATAAACAAATGGATGCCTGGATGCTAAAATGTTGGGAATGCCAACCTCCAAGGGTGGGATTGTGGGTAATGCTTCTTTTCTTTGTGGGATTCTCCTGCATTTCTCAAAGTGTGTACAGCAAGAAAGGATTTTGTTGTCTAAAGACAAGTTATCACTAGATTGCATAGGGTAGTCTTGAGTTCATTTTGTATCCAAGGCCAGCATCACACTTACAAAAAAATTATTACAGTATTTATCTATGTGTGTGTGCACGTCTGCATCTGTATTCCTATGCCGCAGTGCATTCGTGGAAGTCAGGGGACAACATATGAGAGTCAGTTCTCTCCTTCTATCACGTGGGTCCTGGGAATCTAAGGGTGTCAGGTTTGACAGAAATCACCTTTATCTACTGAGCTTGGCTCTCTCTAGGCTTGGCTTCAAACTTTTGATCCTCTTGCCCCAGCCTCCTTAATGCTAGGATTACAGACATGCGCTACCATGCCTGCCTAGAGAAACTGATTCTTTTTATCACTAGGTAATGCTATAGGAAGTCTGTTCATAGCCTGAGATGGGTGAGGTGGTTTTGAGGGACAGGAACAGAACTGCAGCATTGGCTGATTTCTGATGACACTGTGAGCCGAGTCTCAGAAGAGAGGTGATTTAAATGTGACATAGAGCAGACTAGGCACGGTAGCACATGCCTGTTGTCCAGCACTCAGGAGGCTGAGGCAGGAAGGTCACAAGTTTGATGTCATTGGACTATAGAATGAGACTTACTCACAAAACAAAAAACAAGCCACCTAACTACAGACAAAAAAGAGTCAGTGGGTTCATGGGGCTCACACGTTGGACGATCCTACATCAGTGCTCCTTGCTCTGTGCTTTGAGGTTTCAGGATCATTGCAGGTGTTGAGAAAAAATCCCCAGTCTCCAGCTGGAATTCTAGTTCTTTCCTGAGGACAGAAGTGGGAAGGAGCAACTTGGGGGTAGGGGGAATAAGGTAGAAGATTCCAGGTAGATGCTACCTCCTCCGCATTTCAGGTGTAGAGAAGGGCCTCAGCAAAGAGATACTCCATTGTCAAGAGGAGTAGGATGAGGGGTATAGGCAGAAAGCAGGCTCCCACGTGCAGAGGTAAGGAAGGAAGGTGACCAGCCACCGCTGACCATTTTGTCCTGCTCTGTGACACTCAGATTTCACTATGGAATTCTCAAAGCTGATCTTGTTTTTCTTTTAACCAGAGACCACCTGGGAACGGCCCAGCAGTTCTCCTGGGATTTCAGCCAGCCCTGGCCCTCACAGGAGCTCTCTGCCTCCAGCAGGTATGATCTGATAACCAACCTGGGGTACCTGGGAGAGACACATGCCTACTTTCACTGGGAGGCCAAGATCATGGGTCCCAGGGCCTGAAATCTGTTGATGGGATCTTGTAAGCCAGACGTGGGGAGGGCTCAGACCAGTTCCCTGAGGCCTGCTTCCCAGCAGGCTGGTCATGCCCAGGCAGTACCAACTGCAGCTTGGGACCTCATGATCTTGACCACTCAAGTGCTGAGGGCAAGAATGGGCTGGGTGAAGTCAGAAGTCAGAGGTCTTTCCTGATGCCGGACAGAACTGCTCATGTAGTTCTCATAGGCCTAGAAGAGTAGAAGCTAATGGTGGAGTTCTACAAGGTAATTTTCAAACAATGTTCTGGTAAAGAAATGAGGTTCTTTGAGAGGATATAAGTTCTCTGTTAGCAGAGGTAATCGAATGGAGGCATTTGAGGTATACATTCGTGTCCTGGGTGTAAAGAGTTATCCAGAAATGTCTTAGGTGACATCTGATTCTTAGATGCCAGGAAGAAAGTCACAGGACTCACCATTGGGGAGATCAGCTTCTAACTTCTGCATCCCCCACCATCACCACCTCCAGGAGGCCTTCCCTGATTACTCCATTGGGAGGCCTCACCCTCTGGGTCTGCATGACAGTGTGCACAGGCTTTACTGTACCCAGAGTTCTTCTCTCTGTAATTGGCTGTCCTCCCATGATGCACTGGAGGCAGGGGCTGGGTTACTCTCTGGACTCCCTCTCTCCACCCAGAGCCTGGCTTTGTTGTTGCCTGCATTCAGTGTCTCCACCATCCAAGTGTGTACACCACATTCACTGGGTTTCTCCTTTAGGAGTTAACAGTGGAAAAGAGTGCCTGGAGATTTAATGTCAGTGGCATAAGAATGTAGCAGATAGTGCATGTAGTCTGGGATGGACCCCAGCAGGAGCCAAGAGCATCCAGCATCCCAGGACTCCCAGGAGGGGGAGTCCTTATAAAGTTCTTGGAACAAAAAGGCGTCAGAGGTTTACATAGTTTCCCTAAAGCATCTCAAGGAAGCCCAGGAAAAACAGACAGCTCTAAGCAGGGCAGAGCCTCAGGTTGCAGGGCGCCTTTGGACATAGATCCTCATTGATACATGAGGCCTGACATTCACGGGGTATTCAGGGATGGACAGAAGCGTTCAGAGCTGCAAAGTACTGGGTAGGGGCATGTGTGTTATTCTGCAGAATCCAGTGAGATGTCTGGGAGGTGCCTCGAGGGGTGGGTGTTTCCTGCTGAAATTATTCCGGGGTTTTGAAATTTTAAAATTTGTATTATTTATGTATATATGCACACTTTTTTTAACTGAAATAATTTTTTTCAGAAAGGAACTCAGTAAGGGGGAAGGAAATGGGGCATTTACTGGGCATTACTGAGTTCCTAGGGAGACGCCCACCATGCATCCTGTAAGCTGTCTCTCCTTCAGCCAGCACAGCTGCTGGATGACAGGAGGAGACTGCAAGCCTCCTGCCTTTTCCTTAGCTGTGGTTCTTGAGGCTTTTTAAACAATAAAAATGCCAGTGTGAATGATGTGAGATGGATGTGGCCCTACTTCCTGGCCAACTCCAGGCCAGCTGGAATGGCCCATGCTGTAGGGGCAGTGACACAGGAAGAGGGAGGTGTGGCCTGCAGAAAGGACAGGTGTGATGTGAGGGCCACAGCCTGCCATGTTGGCAGAGCTAGTCTGGTCCTGTTTGGGTCACAGGCGCCTCTCAGAACCTGTCCTGCGCAGCACAGGGAGCATTCAGTCCCAGTCCCTAGAAGGGGCCTGGGCTTCACAGACCTTTCTTTGCTCAGAAGCATGTAAAGAGCCCACTCCTCTACCTATCATCAAATGCAGTGGGTCTGTAAGGAGTTGCAAATGGTGGGGAGATGGATAAGACAGTCAGGGGGGACCCAGGCAGTATGTGGACAGAAGCTGGTCCCTCTGCTCCCACCCCAGGGGCCTAGCACAGTGCTTCCCAAAGCTAAGTCCATGATCTCCTGGGCTATCAGAGCTCCGGCAAAAGGGTTTGGCAGTTAGACTCACTTTGGAGGGCTTAGTAGACACACCCTGTTTTGAAAGAAACCTGTGGAACGCTTTAGTGCATCCCACAAGGGGTTTCTACCTTGTTTGTTCAGAGCACGTCACACATTTGCCAAACTGTCTGATCTCAACTATGGAAGGGCTCGTCTTTCAGGGACATTAGGCAGAGTCTGAGACATTTTTCACTGTCACCACTGGGAGATGGTACCTACAGGCATGTGCTGGGGAGAGTCCAGGGGTCCTGCTAGAACTTAGCCGTGTTGCTTCTCTAGCCAGGCCTCTCTTTCCCATTCACACATTAAGAGCCCAGAGGCTAATCATGGCAGAGGGCCCAGCCAGTCCTCCAGCCACCCTTCTCCACCTCCTACCCTCCATCCTGCCATCTTCCCTCCATCCCTACTCTCTGCCCTCCATTTCACCATCTACTCATTTCCTAGTTTCCTTCATTCTGCTGCTGTCACTCAGACCAAAAGTAACTTAGGAAAGAGTTTATTTCAGCTTAAAGTTATAGTTCATAATGGAGGGAACTCAGGGCAGGACATTTTTTTGTCTGTTTGTTTTTGGTCTTTTTGAGACAGGGTCTCCCTGTAACCCCAGTTGGCTTGGAACTCGCTATGTAGACCAGGCTGGCCCCAATCTCACAGAGATCCGCCTGCCTCTGCCTCCTGAGTACTGGGATTAAAGGCGTGTACCACCACACCTGGTAAAGATACGTTTATTTTTCTTTTATGTATATGAGTGTTTTGCCTACATGGATGTGGGTGCACCTATGTTGTACAATGCCTGCAGAGGCCAAAAGGTGTCAGACCCCCTAGAACAGGATTTAAAGATGGTTGTTAGCTGCCATGTGGATGCTGGTGGAACCAAACCTGGGTCCTCTGCAAGAGTAGCCAGTGCTCTAAACTGCTGAGTCATCTCTCCAGCACCTTAGCTGGCTTTCTTATACTGTCCAAGACTACCTGCCTAGGGATGGTGACATCCACAATGGGCTGGGCCCTCCTGCATCAATTAATAAGACAATTTCCCACAGACAGGCCCTCGGGCCAATATGATCTAGGCAACTCCTTAATAGAGGCTTGTCTCTCAGATGACTCTAGGCTATATCAAGTTGAAAATTAAAGCTAACTAGGACAACCCTATATCCCCCTCCCATCATCCTCCACCCTTCAACTCTCTACCCTCTACCCTAACACCTTCCCTTCTTCTAGTCTCTACCCTCCTTCCCATCATCCACCCTCCTTCCACCTTCCATCTATCATCTATCCTCCCTCCCCATCGTCTTTCCACCCTCCATCCATCTTCCTCTACCCTCTATCCTCCCTCCAACTCCCCTGTACCCTCCACCTTCACCCTCCCTCTATCTCTTCTCCATCCTCCCTCCCCTATCCTCTATTCTCCATCTACCTCCCACTCTCCGTCTTCCTTGCTGTCTTCCCTCCATCAAACCTCCATCCACATCTACTCTCTATCCATCCTCTGTCATCCCCCTTCCTTCACCTACCAACCTACCAGGGTCCAGAACATGTTGATGTCTTCTTATTTTTCAATCTCTCATAAGTAAAGAATGTGGTGTAGCCACACTGCATTTCTCTCTGCAGGAGAGCACTAGGTTTTTCCCGGCTCCTTTTCTCATTCAGCTTCACAAACAGCTTTCAGGAGATTGGATTTCATTATGGGAAGAGAAACAGACACAGCAAGGACGTAAGATTGCCTCAAAGCTCGACTCCCATCCTCAGGCTCCTGGGATTGTAACAAACCTCCTGTCATGGAAGCCTATCGGGGCCTGGGTCTCAGAGCCTCCTATTTTGTTTGTTTCTATGAGAGCCACAGTAGTTCAGTGCCAACCCCTTAACATTTATTTTATGTATTATTATTTTTATGTTGCAGGTGTTGTCCACAACATGTGTGTATGTGTGTATGTGGAGGTCAGAGGACCACTTTTAGGAGCTGGTTCTCTCCTTCCATAGTGAAGATTGAACTTAGATAGTCTGACTTGTCTGGCAAGCACTCTTACTTGCTGAGCCATCTCACAGACTCTGTCAATACCTTTTATCCCCAAATATGCCACTAGTTCCTGCTCCCAGGGAATGGACATCCCTGGGAGTCCAACCAACAAACACAAAGGAAATAGGTCAGATGTTCCCTGCATGCTCTAACACAAGGAATAAAAATGGGTCAGTGTGACAGAGAGTGACTGGGGAATCAGAAGACCTCAGCAAAGAAGTGACATTTAGGACAAGATTTAGGGACAGTGACAGGATAGGTGGAGAGGGATGGTAAAGGCAGTAATTCTAGGTCAGGAACTGCCAGGTCAAAGGCCCTGATATAGGAACAGCCCCACTGGGTTGGAAAACAGAAAGGAGCCTTTGTGTATGGAAGAAGGAGATGCTCTGGAGAGTGGCAAGACGTGATGAAGTTGGAGGAACAGGGCCTCCCAAGCCAGGCACGCTGAAGGAGGAAAAGGTAGAAGGTGTTGGGATTTCATCCTGAGTGTGGAGGTTGGGGAGGAGGAAACAGCTAATGGGTAACTGTGCTGTCTCCATAAGGCTCTACAGACTCTTCTCCATTAGCAGTGGTGAAGCTTTACCTGGCAGGTGTGTGTGTGTGTGTGTGTGTGTGTGTGTGTGTGTGTGTGTGTGAGTGTAGAAAACCATGTCACATTTCCTGACCACAGACCTCCCCTCTGGTGGCTCCTGAAGGAAAACATGGAACTCAGGTCACTGAACAGTGTTGGAGAAGCAGATTGACCTCACCAAACTATGCTTGATGAATAAGGAAGCTCCAGGGCTCAGCTTCACTTCTGGGCGACCCTCATGTCTTTCTTAGGGTCTTCAAACCCTGGGACATGGCCGTTTCCTTCTCATGATTAGCAAAGACAGCCAGGTACCCAGCTGGGGAAGGAAAGATTTAGAAATACATCTAGAGTCCTCAGAACGCTTTCTTCTTTT